GTAACATACTATCATTTAAAACAAGGGACACTTGCGTTTCTTCCTCCACCACTATTATTCAAACCAAAACACTTTGTAACCTATTATTCAAACATATAATTATGAAAACTTATGACAATTCTTAATCAAATCAATACGTACATGTAACTATTAATTACTTGCACTGTTTCGTAACATTGTAACAGTTTTGTTTCGGATAGTCAAACTAAGTCAATTTTGACTTACAATTTAAACATATCCTTTGTAGTTTTGATAGGATAAAGATTGCACGTACTTTAAAATTTTTGTAAAATAATATAAATATAAATCCGTTTAATTTAATATTATGTGTGATTACAATGAGTTCAAATCGGTTACAAATCGAGAACTCGAACGTAGCAAAAGTGTAGTTCATCAAAATTATAAATGTAGTTAACACTCTATTAGCAAAAATAACCAAAAAACAAAAATATGTGATGGAAAAATAAATATTAAATGTCCAGCAGTTGGCATTGCCTTCGATTTTAGCACAAAATCAGCGCGTGAGTTGAAAAAAAAAGTACAGTTCAGAAAAAGTCTTTCACGAGAGAGCACGCACGTTAGTCAACAGTCAACGGTGGGAAAAAGAGTAAAAAAGCCGCTTTTCAATGAGAAGTTACAATTCAGGAAAGAAAAAGCAAACATTATTATTAACTACAGGCTGAATTGAAAGGTGGAGCACAGTACAGTCAGTAACTCTACCTTCAGTTACTTTTACACTCACAAGTCATTCACCGTGGTTAAATTTCACCAAACCATGGTCTAAAAAAGCCCCATGCAAAATTTGCCAAATATAAATAGACAGAAAAACATCTAAAGAAACAACAAAGGAAAAGCCAAGCTAAAATCAAAGCCAATCTCTATCATCATCATTGAGCCAATAGCCCCTGACATAAGTCATCATTGAACATCTATTTGCCTTCTTCTCTGTCTATTCACACATCTCTTTCTTTCTCTCTCTAAATAATATTTTTTATTTGTGTTTACAAAAATAAAAGGACATAACTATAAATATTTTTCTTGTTTGTATATATATTGTTCATAGGTTCTGAATCTTCTGACCTATCCTACAAACTGTATTGCACTAGCCAAACGAAAAAAGCTGTAACTCTTCTGCTACAAAAGAGAACCACCCCATTTTTCTTCGTTCTGTCCCCCACCTCTTACCCAACACATTCAAATCCCAGAGAAAGAAAAACCTCCATTTACCTTTCTTTTGGATTCTAAAGGGAAAGAAAAGGGAACTTTTATTGGTTTTTCAGAGGAAAAAAGGAAGAGAAAAAAGATGGGTGGTGAGAAAGAAGATGGTTTAGGTTTGAGCCTCAGCTTAGGAATGGGTTGCCCTAAAAATAATCTCAAGAATGACTTCATTTCACCATCAACTCCTCCATTCCTCTTGCCCTTCATGCATAATCATCAAATATCTGCAGGTAAAAGTTGAAAAGTTTACAACTTTTTGCTTTTTTCTTTCTTTTCTTGATTATATGTGCGTGAGCTATAAGTCACAGGTTCAAGCCGTAGAATCAGTTACTTATGGTAGATTGACTATGTTATACCTTTGGGATGCTGACCTATTTCGAACCCTGAGTTTCTTTCATTTGATCTTGAATGCATGCTCCAAGTCAGACACGAATCCCCTCTTGAACTTGATTGGTGCAACTTTTAAAATTTTAAGCACTATACATTGTACTACAATTTAGAATTAGTTGAAATTTTAGAAAATTGTCACACACATTCATACCCATGAAAATATTAGATTCAGTTGAACTCAATAAATATAGGCTTCATTGGGCCAACCAAATGGGTTTTTTTAGCCTGTTTGATTTATGTAGATGTTTTTTTTTTGTGCAGAGAGAAATGAAGAAGCAAGAGAATCTATAAGAGGGGAAATAGATATGAATGAACCAGTGAGAATGATAGAGTCATGTGATGAAGAATTAGAAGATGAAGGTGTGATAATGGTTTCATCACCTAATAACAGCACAGTTTCGAGTGTGAGTGGAAAGAGGAGTCATGACAGAGAAGATCACGAAGGGGAGAGGCCCACCAGCTCCCTGGAGGACGACGGCGGCGACGCGGCGGCGAGGAAGAAACTCCGGCTGTCCAAGGAGCAAGCAGCCGTTCTTGAAGAGACATTCAAGGAGCATAACACTCTTAATCCAGTGAGTGGCAGTTTTGGTAAATTTTTTGTGGGTAAAGGGTAATTTCTGAAACAAAACAAAAATATGAATGTAATTTATTGAAAAAAAAAGTTTGTTTAAACGTGTTCAGTAGTTGTAATGGCTTGTGGGTGAAAATGTGGTGTCAATTTACTTCTCCCCCTAAACACTTCCGATAAAGTATTTAAATTTTCTTTTTTGGGAAAAAACGTAAGCATCTTTTCTTTTTCTTTCCAAAGAATCTGAATTTTTAAATGCAAAAGTGTGATTAATTGTTTTTCTTTCTTCAGAAGCAAAAGTTGGCACTGTCGAAACAGCTGAATCTCAGGCCAAGACAAGTGGAGGTGTGGTTTCAGAATAGGAGGGCAAGGTATGTTATTTGCTTACAGATTCAAGGGTATTTTTGGCACGATAATAATACTTCACGTTTGTAGCATGAATCTTTGATATTACTTGGAGACACACGTGTGGTGTTCCATTATAAAATTTTGATTATGATAATCCAAGTAAAGCCCTGTCGGGCTGCACACGTGTGCGTGGATTATACTACTTACACTTGAATTTAAAATGATCAAACAATTTACAGCTTGTTTGGATGGTTGTTACCTATCGTATTGTATCGTATTGTTACTTTAAATACAATATTTATTTTGATTGTTACTTAAATTTTATTGTATCGTACCGTTAAATCCGTTGTTACGAAACGATGAAATGTGTCACTTTACGTAACGACCGATTTGGTGTGGTCGCGTCGTTCCCTTGTGTTTTTCTCTCAATCTCACCCTTCATTATTATTAAATAATTTTATTTTATCATTTATCCTATCTTTTAATATACCGTATCATAATTTTTCTTTATAATATTGCAAGTTTATTCATCATATCACAGGTGCGTGATACCATGAAACGTCGCCAAAACGACACAATCCATCCAAACATTGTATTCATCAAATGATACAGTACAATACAATACAATACGATACGATACATTATGAAACGATACGTAACAACTATCCAAACAAGCTGTTATTCTACGTAAAATAACAAAAAAAGATCTGTCCTATTTTATTTTAATTTTTAAGGTTCGTTGTACTGGACTTATTGTATTTATGAAATTATGAGTTAAGAATTTAATACTAGTTGATAAAATTAAGTTTTTTTTTTTGACAAATGTAAATATGTTCCGCGTTGAAATTACGGTTCACGACTGTGATTGTGCCTTGCTTGAACCGAGGGTTTATCGGAAACAGTCTCTCTACCTTCGGAAGGCAACGGAGCTACTCATTGGCAAGGGGATTCAATTGACACCCTTCGTCGGAAAATTACACTGTGTAAATAAATAAAATTCTTAATTTTATGTGTATATATTATATGTTGACTCTCCTTGATTTCTTTGTGTGCTTATTTATTTATATTTTGACTCCCCTTAGTTAAAATCCTGGCTCCGCCACTGTCAGAAGGTAGGGGGTACGGCTGCATATACACTATCCTCCCTAGACCCGCATTTGTTGAATTACATTGGAATTATTGTTGTTGAAATTTCGGTTCATTTGCCTTTGAATTCGGATTACATTGGCGGCAATTCTTTGAACATAATTTTCTTTGAAGAGTAATACTTAATTTAGAAGTTCTAAGTAATGGCTTGAATAATGCAGGACCAAGTTGAAGCAAACAGAGGTTGATTGTGAGTACTTGAGGCGTTGTTGTGAGAATCTGACGGAGGAAAACAGACGTTTGCAGAAGGAAGTTACTGAGCTTAGAGCATTGAAGCTTTCTCCACAAATGTACATGAACATGACTCCTCCCACCACCCTTACCATGTGCCCTCAGTGCGAGCGTGTGGCCGTATCGTCTTCTTCCTCCTCTGCCGCCTCTTCTTCAGTCACCGGTGCAGGTGTCTCTCGCTCGAACCACCCTGTAGGCGCCCTTCACCAACCGCCAGTTCCCCTCAACAAACCATGGGCTGCAATTTTCTCCCCTAAACCACTCGACGTGCAACGAACACAACTGTAGTTTACTCTTGTTGTGAGGGTGAAAAAGGTCATTTGACACAATGGGGAAGAGTCTAAACTCTGCTTGGAGCCAAACAGATAGAGAAAAGGGTAGTGAAAAGTGGTCCAGATAAAGGTCGGGAGAAATCAGAAGTGTTTATAGAGTAGAAGATGAATGAGATGATTACAAGAGAATCTTAAGTTCTTTTATTTTTGTTGGGGTTCTCCTTAGTAGATGAATGATTAATGTTCCAAAAGCGGGATGTAATTTTGGGTCAAGACAACAATTGTTGAATTTGTTCATTTCATTTGTGTAGGGAAATGGTTAGTTAAATGGGACGAAATAATTGTGCTCACTAACCACTTTTATACATCCCTGTTGTGGACATGATTTGCTACATGCTATAGTATTATCCATAAACCTGGTGCCTCTAAAAGTATAGCTAGGATTCCCCATAAGGTCACAAAGTCGATTAAATTAACCAGCCCCCTTTACTTTTGATAACAATGATATCCGGATCAGATTGTGCATACCTCACTAGCATGAGTACTAGATAACTCTATCTATTAATGGTTGAGCAAATATGAAGAAAAAAAAAACTCCATCTCTCATTATTTTCACTCGTAGATAGCTAGGCCACACCATTAGATGCAAGCGACCCCGAGGTACTTGTGGTGCAAGAGTCACAAAATGCACCGCATGCCCTAGAATGTAATAAGTTGTAATCTTTTGGTTTGGGTTGGGGGGTGGGGGCTTGAGATGATCTCAAACAACAACAAAGTTCTACAGTAAAACTCTAGATACAGTTGATATAAATTATAAATTTTAGGAATAGAAGAACTCTTGGGAGCAACATCTCCTTGACTTGATAGTGTCACATAAACTACATCCACCAACAGAAATATGAAAGAAAAGGAATGGCAGAAAGCTCAAATAGCCTTGGAACAGATCTTATGTTATATATCGAGAAGAACACAGATTTAAAGAGAGGAAGCAACCCTTTGAAAACAAGCTGAACTCAATCTTAGCTTCAATTAAACATGTAAAGACATATACAAGTGAATTTCAAAGTAAACATTCATCTATTCATCTCTATCAATGGCATTCCTTCTCTTTTTTCCCATCAAGTTCAATACTGTGTTCATCCGGCTTTAGTAAACAGGTATTAGTTACACAGTATTCACAGTGTCAGCAAGACAACGCAGTATGCAACCTAAACCAGCTTTTTCTGTTAGTTTTTCATGGATCCTTAGGCATTGGTCACATGTTGGGCGGTCTCCAGTAGACAAACCTCTGTACAAGTACCTGCACATCGGATAAGAATGTTCGACTGTGAAACTTGTAACCCAACTTCAGAAATGTGCCACATTACTTGCACAACAGGCAGATCTATGGATTTATTTTCCTTTTTAACTATTGGAATAATTACAAGGCAAATGCACATTCATTTCTTCTCAGTGTATCAAGTATCCATGCATCAAACGAGTTCATTTTCAACTATAGTCTGTGTGAAGCAGAGTCTAGATGGTCCAATATCAGAAAAAGAATGAATGTCTCCTTCCATTTTTCCTCATCCTATAACTTCCTATGTTGCGCGGGCTCTCCAAAATGTGGCAAATTTTGACCTTTTCTTCTATTCCTAAAGTTCGAAGTAGTTATGCTGGGGTCGCTGCTATGGTCCACTAAAGCAAATGAAAGCTGTCAAAAAGAGTTCGTTCAACAAGGAAATGTCACCTTGCATCACATAATTCTTTACAGTAACGAAGATATAAACAGATTTAGGACTAAACTTTAACAAGAACCACAATAAATCAAATCAGCAGCGAATTATTTAAAGTTGGAATCTTGTTGACAAAAGTATTGGTATATCCCCTTAAGGAGATGCATTTGCAAACCGATTAGCCAAGATGCATTACTTTATATTTTGCTAAGATTTCTGAATACCACCTAAGTGGTAATGCCTTATTACGATTTATGGTTATGGAATCCATTTTTTATGTAATCAATTTATGTTTCTTTTTGTATCTTTTTTAATTCTTATGATTTATCATTAATTTATGTTTTATCTATATTATTATAAAAGCACGAATAATTTATGCTAAATGTTGAACGACTAAAATATCCCTGAAACATTGATCGACTTTTATGCCCTTAAATATTTGTATAATTTAAGGATCTAATGGTAAATTACCTAATGATAGAATTCTTTTTCGATTTAAACTATGCATATACCCGACCCTACAACGTTGATCCTACTTGAATTAGAAAAGTTTGTTCCTAATTACAATTCTTTATAACAATGCACATAACAGATACGTACTAAAAGAGGATTTTAGTACTACGTTATGGAAAACGTCTATAATATTTTAAACCAAGTTGAAATTCTTACTATTCTTTAAAGCCTTAATTTGTATTTAGTATACATATAAAGCTATATTTGCATGCCATTTTATTTATGGTTTATGTTTAGATAATTATTTATGTGATCTCTGCTGGAGTTACTAATGCTCTTTTGCTTTTTGTTTTTTGTTTTTGTTTTCCTTTTCCTTTTCCTGAGCCGAGGGTCGATTGGAAACAGCCTCTCTGCCCTTTCGGGTAGGGGTAAGGCCTGTGTACGTATTACCCTCCCCAGACTCCACCTTGTGGGACTATACTGGGTAGTTGTTGTTGTTGTTGTTGTTGTTTATACATATAAAGCTACAACTAAATTAAGTTAGTATCTTTTACCAAAGTATTAGGAGTTACTGCATATTTCAAACAAATTGAGTTAATTTTTAAAATATTAAATAATAAGAAAATAATTAATTGATAATTTTTTAAAATATAAAATCTAATTTTAAAGTGTTAAAATAATAGGGGAGAGTTTAGATGAATATTTTTATTTTACATGATAATAAAGTGGTGAGATTGTACTCTTTAATTTATTTATTTTTACTTCAGTATGAGTAATTAATTCTTTTACAAATTTCTCAAAGAAAATCGATTGATGTTAGTCTAGATTAGGTTTCCTAAAATAAGTTCGTCCAGGTCTCCTATATATCGAAGTTTAACAAATTTTTTCTTTGATTGGTTTATTTTCATTAGATGCTCATGTGCCATAACTTGGTAAAACAATATGTATGTTTCTCCTAAAAAGTATGTAAAATATGTATACTATATATAATACACATATATACAAAAAAAGATTATCTGCTATTATTTTTGTAACAGTTAAAAATATATATATTTCTCTAAATTCTTAACTAATCATAGACTTGATATATCAAAACACGTGTATGATTAATATTTTATTGCTTTGAATGTGATAAAGCAGTAATAATTTTACTCGGATTATATCCGACATAATTTAAATTTGACATAATTTTATAAATAACTGAGACAACCCTCACAAATATGTCAAAGTACAATAGTCAAAAAGTAATACTTTTTGGAGGTGATTCAAAGATGGACAACTATATGTTTTACTTTTGAGATGGAGAAGCCAAAGTTATAGAAGGAAACATACATCAAAAACGTCCTCTATAAAGAAGTATTAGATATGATACTACGACACTGAATATTTATACACTATAAATAGAATATCATTTAACTTAACTAAATCAATCATCTTTGTAGGTTAAGGCGATATAATTTTGAATTCAGGTATTCTATTAATGTAATAACATTAATTTTTAGCATTTAAATGGTTGTTGTATTTTTATCACGTTAATTACTTTACAATAATCATATCATCTTGTAAATAATTTATTACTAAATTTAGTTAGTTGTTCTTTCACATAAAAGTTCTGACTAAATATTTACGTGCAACGCACGTACATAGTAACTAGTATAATATAATATACTTCAAAATTATAAGATCCTTCCAACTTGTGTCATGCTCCGTTATTTTCAAAATTTGTGTCTTCATGTAATAAGACACGACTCTCATGTCTGTAGTTTCTGTGCTACTTATGGCGGACCAGTGGAGAGCATACATGCAAGTCTTCAGATTTGGAAAGCAACTCCATCGTGGCCTTATATTTCAAAAGAAAATCAAAAAATACTCTTAGGCAATGTGACTAGCCTCTGTCGTTTTCAAAAGTCAACTATATCCCCTTCTAGAAATGGATGATAACCGAATGAAGTAACTGAGTAAACTGTGAAAAGGGATTATGAAGGGGAAAGATGAGTTCACAAGGTTCACTGGCTTTATTTATTGGGAATTGTAACTGGAAACAATTTGGTTGGATATATGATGTGGAAACTGAAACTAAACTTGAAGCTTGCTTATCAAGAGTCTATGTGATTACTCATGATAGGGTCGCAGTTACCGCTGAGATCACCACAAGAAGAACTAAGGGTTCATCTTGGAAAATTAGCTTGAGAAGACCTGTTCAGATAGGGAATGGAAAGGTAGAGGAGTTCATACAAATCTACAGTTCCTCTGAGGCAGAAAGTGGTGAGGATAAAATGGTGTTGAAAGGAGCAGTGCTAGTACATCTTTAATGAGCTTCTATTATATGGGTCTTACAAAGAAGGAGCAAAGAAGACATGGTGAAAGGAGATATGGAATACATAAACGCCAAAGAAGGTCATCACCTTCTTCACATGCTGCATAGAGTGGGGTGCAATTCTTTCTGACGAAAAATCACATAAAGAGGAAATAGATTGTTGAAAGTTGGTGTTTGAAGTGCAAGGAGTATGAGAAGGACAATGATATGTTATTGTTATACTGCAGAATGGCCTCACAGCTTTGGGCGGAGGTGTTCTTTTTACACCAGAAGACAGTTATAAAGGCATGGCAAGTTGAGGGAAAGGAAACCTCGGAAGAGTTAAAAACAACATGGAATATTAATCCACTTTCCCTTTTCAAGACTACATGGAATGAAAGAAGTAGGAGCCCTTTTCAAAGCAATGAGAAGCGCTTCTTTTGTTTCATGTATATATTTCGCGTAAAGAAAGAATATACTCTGATATAGTAAATTAGGTAGCTAAATAATTGACCAAAAGTAGCACATATAACCACATTGTACATATATTTTGAGCACCATCTTGATGAATTAATGAAGATGATCTTTGACAATAAGAAAAATTCAAACTTGTAACCTGAGCATCTCAACTTCAAGATCATAATAAACAAACCTGATAGCCGTATTAATTCAAGTCACTTAAACCCGTATAGAACCGATTAAAAGTATAAAACATGATCGCCACCTAGGTCAAACCTATCTTGACTGCAGATCATGTAAAATTTCTCCAACTCATTCCAGTAACAAGTTAGATTTATATCTCTCGAGTCTCAATCTCCTTGGTGAATATTTTACGCTAATGTATGAGAGTAGTAAATACACCGGCGCCTTTACGAGTAGGAACAACTTTGCACCAAGTTATCATATGGTTACTTTCAGATGTTTCCAGAAAATAGGCACTTCAAGTCCATCGATTACCCTTTCCAACCCCCTGTTAGCCCTTTATTAGATATTGAAGGTAGAGCGTCGCAAAGCAACAACATATAGATGGAGTAAGTCTATTGATTCTTAAGCAGCAATATCTTCTTACTCCCAAACAAGCATACCAACCCAAGTTATTCCCAATGAACTTTCAGACTCTTCTTGCATGATGATTCCTTCAGCTTTATCTTAGTGTTTTAAATATATAGTGTCATATCAGATTCCAGGACTGAAATTGCACCCAATCAAGAAACTAGCAAGTATTACTATTACACCAGTTCCCTGGTTGCTGGTTGCTGGTTGCTGGTAGTAGAAAACCAAATGAAAAGGCAATTTCACCTACCTACATGGTGAATTCATTAAACAACATTTCTTCTAACCTGTAGTATATTGTATTCATGGAGATATAAGACCAAAACCAAGCTTAAACTAGCTGTTGCAAGTTAGAAATCTAAACTAAGGTCATAAAAAGCTTGCATATTGTTGATCAATATTTGATGAGACATATTGTAGGCAATTACCAAAGTGTCCAACTAGAGTTCTTTGGAAATCTTTAACAAAGTTTCTCAAGTTCAATAGATTTCATGACACATCTCAAATTCATCGTAACCTAAAGTAAAATAAACATAAAATATTTAGTGCAGTGTATAAGAAGGTACGATTTCAAACTATGCCAAAATTTTCAGGTCGTGATACTCGAGGTAAGAGCTGTAAAAGACTGTTCCACCATTTATGCCACCTAATGTTTTTTTCTTTTCTTGAACATGGTAAATCCCCCACCCCCACCCCCAACACCAAACGGCCGCCACATTGGAGTCCAACAGTGGCTATTGGTGACTCAAACCCCGACCTCGAAATTGGAGGTGGAAGAATCTTATTACTACGATATTCCGCCCAGGTCTATTTCGACTTGAACATAATTATAACTGTAGACTGGTCCTTAATAGCAACATAAGGTAGAGAAATATATGTCTTATTCAATCAAATAGCAGACACATTGTGTTTTTCACTTTCTTCTCTACCTTTATTACTAGTTGCATATGCATGTAACTGCACAAGTCTATTTAAAATGCTTTGCATCACCAATAGCTCAATGAGTTTGTCCGCCACTTCTTGAAAAGACAAGCGTTGGAACTTCAGTAGTACAATCTAAGATTTCCATTGGTTGGCTTAGTTTCAATAGCTTATTGCCAGATCAAGATTTCTTTACTTTCGACTTCCTTTCATAAATTATTTCTTCACTCGGCTAATATCTAAGTGCAATCTCTGTGAAAAGGGGATTACAAGGCTTGTATCATATCCCCAATTTCTGTGCGCATAACAGAACCAGAGGTTCAACAATAATATTTTGAGGATTGCGAAACAAGTATCAGTAATTTTAGTTGCCCAGTTAAGTGGAATCCTTTCGTCTCAATCAATCAAAAATGTCCCAAGGTCCTCAAATGGATAAAATCACTGATTTCACACAATTCCTACGATCTAGGCTTTTTCTCTTTACTTTCTACTGATATACCAATATCCCATAACGGAAAATCAGAGATAGAGTACTCATAGCATAACAATTTTCTATAGACATGCTTCACATCCATTATTACAGATTGGCAACATAATCCTCAACCTCAAGTCCTACCTAGGCCAAATACACAGAATAAGTAGGAACAAGAAATGAACTTACTTCATGAGAATATCATAGTACTCAGGATCCAAAGCAGAGAACAAGCTATCCACATCTTTAATAGCCATTATAGCCCTATGCACCACTATCCAATTGGCAGACTGCAAAATCCCCAAAATAAAAAATAAAATGTCAACCTCAGAAGTTGCATCATGGACCAACATTCTAATAAAAAGGATAATTTAACAAAAAGATTGAACCTTGCATCTTTCATCTTTGGTCTTGGGAGGTGATCCTTCTAGAGCTGTTTTCAGAGCTTCCACTGGTTTATACCTAATAAATAATCAAAATCACAAGGGGGTCTTCAGTAATATATAATTATAGATGTGGGTATTTGTTTTTATGCAGGTATAAAAGAGGAAAAATTGGAATTTGAAAAGGGTAGAAATTTATGTACTGTTTGAGTAAGCTTTCGATCTTGCGGGACTTATGCTCGATTCTGGTGATTATGGCTTCGAAATTATCTGCTTCAACAAACTCCGCCATTTCCTCTACCTTGAGCCAATTGCGCAAGCAGCTTTTGGGATCTTTATTGAGTGTCTGATGCTCTGAATTCCTGTATTGATTACCAACAGGAGTGAGAACTTGAGTTCTAACTCGACAACGCTTTTGCCAAATAAGATATTAAATGAGAATAAATCGCATCCGATTACGATTTATATAAATGCGCTCGCATTTGGTTTATATTTATAAGTCGTATTCGGAATACTATTAATTAGATAAATACTTTGATGCGATTTACCAACTATGATTTATATATCAACTGGATTTTGTAAATTGCAATTAAATGCATTTCATCATTCTCGGTATTAATAAATATAACTGGAATTATAAATTACGATTTGTATATAAATTAAATTCTCACAAAAATAACGTACCATTGTATTTTTTTTTTTTAAAGCTGAAAGGGCATATTTTGAAGAAAGAAATGCGGTTAGGTTCCTTTTAATTTCTTAAAATTACAAACACAACCCTTATTTATTTTACTATTTTGTGTGATGAGTGTCTCAGATGAAATAATTCATTCACAATTAATTTTTTTCAAGTAAAATTTATGTCTAAGCACAACTAAAATTTTAATTAATTTTTTTCCAATATCAACCAAATATTATCCAAAAGCTTATTTTGTTGCAGCAATATCTTGTATCATATATTCGGATGATTGAAATAATTAAGTTTTTAGAAGATAATATTTCTTAAACACAAGTAAACAATAAAGTACATTATTTCTTAGGAAAAAAATAGATAACATGAATTTTTATTTGAGATTTTCATAATTATGCACAGAACGTAGAGATGAAATACATTAACTTGCATAATGTACATTTTTTTCCTGGTGCACAATGTACAATTAACTAATTTATAGATGGCAATTAAAATAAAAAATATAGTTAACTAAATAAATTATTCTCTTTTGCATTTTGAAAAAATCATGATAAAACATCACTTTTTCGTCTCATTTTCTGTGACATTTTCTTTTTCTGTATAGTATCATTTTAAAAGATTGACCTTCTCTATTTGAAGAGTATTTTATTTTAATAGCCACAATTTATCTTTGACGTCACTGTTTTTTTTTGGGGGGAGGGAGGGGGGGAGAGGGGGTGGGGGTGGGGGTGAGGTATTAAGTTGAGTCTAGAAACTCTTTTTATTGGGACATTATAAATATTTGGGAGTAATATGTTCCAGTTAAATGTTAGTTGTACCGTCAATTTTAATACGTTACATATATCGAACTTACGTGTCAAATTTTAATAAAAAATTGTCACATTAAATAAAATAAAAGAGCATTAACTTTGTGTATTGATAACAACGTGTGAATACAGAAAATAAAGATTATGTAACATTTAAAAACATATTTAATTTTTTTTTAGATACATAGGAGTAACATAAGGAGGAATGGAGGGAAAAACATATTCTTTTGTTACTTTTCCAATCTCATGGATTTGGAAACTCCATATACCCAATAAACTTAAATTATTCCTTTGGCTAATTCTTCAAAATCGCCTTCCTGCAGCAGCCTACCTTCACAATTTGCATGTTATCCATGATCCTAAATGTAAATCGTGTGCTCATACCCCTGAAACCATAGCACACTTATTTTTAGACTGTGACATTGTCCGACCAATATGGACTTTCTTCCATATGAACACTACTGCTCCCAACTTCAACGAATGGCTTCGCTTGCACTGTCTGCGTAATCGAGGACCCTTTTTCTACCAAGAATTGAGGTCCCTGCCATGTTAATGGTTCGTTTCATCCTTTGGCATATTTGGATTATGATAAGTGCATTTAACTTGATTTTTAAACATATAATTTCTTTGCAAAAATATAAAAACTATCATATTTCTTCCATACTTTTTGTCTAAATCATGCAGGAAAGGTTAAAGAAGGATTGGTCCGAGAGCGAGAAAATTACGGAGGAAAAAGTAGAAAAACGGACAAGCTAAAGCAGAGTAAAATATGGTGCTAAAGAAAGACATTGTATAAATGTGATCTACCATGACAAAGGACAACCGACTCACAACCGGCTACAACAAACTATAACCGATCCATAACTAATCTACAACAGAAGCTCATAACCAAGCATAACAAGGCCACAACCAGCCATGACAAGTTCATATCCAGAAGTGTATTGAAAACTTTGTCATGGCTTGCCTATAAAAAGAGGCATCAATCGTGTAATTAAAAAGGAGGAGCGGAGCAAAGATATTTCATAAGTCATTTTCTTTCTTCTTCTTCGTCTTCAGTTATTCAGTGTAGGAAATTACTCTAGTTTCCGTTTTCAATTAAATAGTAGGAATTATTCTTCTTGAATATTTCTTTCTATTTTCTTATTAATGGGCAAGAATATTTCCGTTGTCGGTATTGGCTCCAACTGATTTTAACGAATTTTCTTATTCAACGAATTTCACTATCTTTGGATCCTTTTGTTTCTTCTCTGTTCAATTTTTCAAATACACCAATCTGGTTAGACACTTGATTTTAACTTGAAAAAGAAAAAAATGAATCTTGCACAAGTAACTCGTTCAAATAATACCGATAACTCTAGAAGGGAAATCCTTGACCCGGAATCCTGGAGACTTAGAGCGGCAAATCGGAGAATGGTTGAAGAATATGAGATGTTGCTTTTCCCTTCTGATGGTTTAAAGGCACAGGAAAACTTACAAACAGTCACTACTTTTGGGTGGAGGTTTTTTGCTCAGCGCCCAGGAGATTATAATCGAAACATAGTTCTAGACTTCTACAGTAATCTTAACCCAGTAAGTCGTACTTCAACCGTGAGAAGTAAAATCATCTGCTTTGATGCTGAATTTATAAATGATATTTTTAACTTGAGAAACACAGATGATAGTGAAACCAAGAAATTTATGGATGATCGGGATGTAGATTTTGTAAGACATGTGTTGGGCGAGTTGTGTCCTGGCGTTAAAGTTCACTCGGGAACTGCTGAATGCCCTTTGAGTATTAACTGTTCATGTATGCTTGAATTAGCAAGAGCTTGGGGTAGATTCGTCAGTTCTCGCTTAATCCCATATTCGAATACCTCGAACTACAATATAGAAAGAGGTCTTTGATATATGCGATTATGCATGAATTGCCTGTGAATGTGGGGAGATTGATTAGTGATGCTATGGTTAATTGTCGGATCAAGCCTGACTGTGAATGCTTGTATTTTCCCTCGACTATCATTCATTTGGTTTCCTTATTTGATGTGGATATGAGTGGTTTACCAAAGACTGAAAATTCCTACTTCATCGGTAGCGACTTTATCCATAGTTTGAGACCTCCTACTGGTCCAACTCAAGTTGAACAGGAACAAATGCTTGTTGATAGTGGAGACCAAGCAGAGAATGAGCCAGCACAACCTCTTAATTCAGAAGTTAGAACCACGCCTACCATCCTCGTTCCTGATATTCTGGTTAGTATGCAAGAATTGTTACAAAGGCAGACTGAATTGATGAACAGTTGTGAGATTTTCAGAAGTGAACAAGCGGTGCGTGAAGCAGTATTGTCAGCACATGTTGAACATATCATGAAAGAATTAACGGAAGCTGGAAATACTCATAATCTTATATGCCAAACTTTGCAAAATCAATTTGCATATACCTCTCCCATAATCTACACAATGGGAGCTGTGATGTGCAATATTTCTAACATTATGAGAAGTTATGGTATTCCTAGTTTTTTCCTTCATTTTACTGTTCCGGGTGGTAGTAGCTTTAATGTTGCAGGTGCGAATTTCTATCAAGGAACACATGTATTTGTACCAACACCACTTCCCACAACAATGATGGATTTAAACAGGGGAAGTGGATCTACACCAGGTCCGATGGCATTTAGCAGTCAGCTTCTTTCTAGTTCTTCTAATCTGGAAGCTAACCATGGAGTTGCTACAACTGGAGGTTCGTCGGTTCCTATTCAATAAGAAAATGGCTTTGATGTCAATGCATACCTTGATCTCTTTCAAGGTAATGGTCATGAAAATTAAGAACGGAACAACAAATTGTTCATTCAGGAGAATGAACAGTTTAAGTGTGGGAGATGGTAATTTTCTGGTTATCTTTTCACTATAATAATTTGGGAGTTGTTGGCTGGCTTCTTTTTACTGGTTTGGAGAAACCTATTGGCGGATGTTTGTGTTTTTGTTTACTGGAAGAAGAAGAGGAAAGTTTTATTTTTTTCAACAAATCTTTGGAAAGAAAAAATAAAAGAAAACTTTCTTCTTTAATGTTTTTTTGCTGGATGACAGAATGGAGTGCTTTGACATGCTGATAAGTGCAGTTTTTTGTGTGTGTAAATAGGCCATGAAATGGCAGATCTAAGGTTGATAGTTTGGTGCTATAGCAACAGGTACTAAATTTTTGTTGTACTAGCCATGAAAGGCAACTTGAAGTTAACCTGTTGGTTTATGTTTTCATATTAGTATGAAGAAGAAGGTTGCAACAAGTAACATCTTTTTGATAGCTATGGTATAGCTTGTACATAGTCTAACCTGTTGGTTGTAATGAAACCTTGAATGAAAGTTTAAGGTAAGTTATTTTGGTACTTTGCACATTTACAACTAAAATGACTTATTTTCTTGTCTTTGCGTTATTTTAATACTTTATAAAAAAATATCATTGTAGTACACTTTTGTTTAATTTAAGAAAAAAAGAAGGAATTTTAAGAATAATTTGCACATGAATAACGGTTGCTCATTTCTTGGCAACATATCTGAATGTTTCAGGTTTATAGAATAGTGAATACTTCTAATTTTATGCCTCCATTTTTGTTGATGTAGGTTTTCTACTTGATGCAACTTTGACTGTTTAAAGAAAATCAAGGCATGCTCAAATCAATTTATTCAATGACTAGAACTTGCCTCTATTGTTAGTCAAGGGGAAATCCTAGAAAAATGCTGATTTTGGAAAATGAATTAGGCTATCTTTGGATCGATTGAGCCTTTCTTTATAACTACCAAATGAAAATTATCCTTAGTATCTCATTTTGAGCCTAAATATCCTTTTTTTGTTCATCTATACCTTATAACATAAAGCCTACTTGTACATATATGTTTACAAACTTTGTTATCACAAATAAAATAAAAAAATAAAAAAAATGCATTCGTTTCTTTCTTTGTGTGGCCTCATGTTTAATGGATGACGATCTGTGAATTGGTGTA